CCGATGTGGAGCTTGATCCCAGGATCATGATCTGAGCCGAAGGCAGATGCTTAACTGACTGAGCCACCCAGGCGTCCCTTCATGGTGTTTCTTTATTCACATATCTCAGCACCTGGCCCATGCAGGTCTTATACTGTGATACCTGCACATAGGGGTCCATCCTCCCAGGGTTATGGGTCCTGGTCATGTCCCAGAAGTCAGCTTCTCCTCAACACTTCTGAGGAAATGAGAAATGCTCTAACAAGGAACCCACTTCTTTCTCATTTCTGACAATGGATCAACTACCCCCTTTCTCACAAAGAGCTCCAGGTTCCTAAGTCACTCTGACCTAAGGTCACAAGTTTCAGCTTGTAGTGCTCTTCATATAGGAGGCCTAGGGGCAGTAATACAATAATGTCACAACTGGAGAGGCATGCACTGCAATCCGCAGTTCCCCCTGAGGCAGATGTTATGGGGACCCCCAACAACACTTGCTCATTTTCATGTTGGCAGATCTCAATATCTCAACCTCTTCCTCATGATAAATAAAGCAATAGAGATTTTATTTTTTAAGTCATCTCTATACCCAGTGTGGAGCTTGAACTCACAACTCCAAGATCAAGAGTTACATTCTCTACTAACTGAGCCAGCCAGGCACCCGAGCAATGGAGATTTAAAATGATTTTTAAAAATAAGGCATTTATGGGACGGCTGGGTGGCTCAGTCCTTTAAGCGTCTGCCTTTGGCTCAGGTCATGATCCCAGGGTCCTGGGATTGAGTCCCGCAGTGCGCTCCTTCCTCAGCAGGGACCCTGCTTCGCCCTCTGCCTGCCGTTCTCCCCTGCTTGTGCTGACAAACAAATAAATATTTTAAAAAATTAAAAATAAGGCATTTATTATCAGTCAAGAGTAGTCTGAGAAAGCTGGTTTGGGGGTGCCTGGGTGGCTCAGTCGTTAAGCATCTGCCTTCGGCTCAGGTCATGATCCCAGGGTCCTGGGATCGAGCCCTGCATCAGGCTCCCTGCTCAGTGGGGAGCCTACTTCTTCCTCTCCCACTCCCCCTGCTTGTGTTCCCTCTCTCGCTGTTGTCTCTGTCAAATAAATAAATAAAATCTTAAAAAAAAAAAAAAAGCCTCTGACTCTTGATCTCAGTTCAGGTTTTGATCTCAGGGTCCTAAGTTCAAGCCCCACATTGGGCTCCACACTAGGCATGGAGTCTACTAGAAAGAAAAAAGAAGAGAAGAGAAAGAAAGGAAGAGGAAGGAAAAAGGAAAGTTGGTTTGAATGTTAACTCAGGGGATCATGAAATTCATCACGGTATTACACACGGAGTTGACATCTATGAAGAAAGGAAACTTTCCCCAGAATCCCTCCAGAGACTCCTCAGGTCTCCTTGTCCAGAGCTGACATGTGTCCATGCCTAACACAATCATGGATGATAGATATGAAACCCCACACCAGCTCAGGACAAGTGGGATTCCCTCCAGGGGAGTTCAGTTTCAGACTTTCCTGAGCAACACAGGCATGACTGCAGCACAGTCCAGGCGTCACAGATCCTGCTTGTCCAAATCCTGGCAGATCACAGACACAACACAACCAGACAACAGAGGCTTTCCTGCTGCATTAAAGAGTCTGACTCCATTTCTGATGCTTGACTGCTGACTTCTTTCTAAACCTCATCTTCTCTTTCCCTTTTGGCTCCTTATATGGACAGGTTGACAGGCAAGTTTGCATGCTCCTTCTCCTTTGGCACCTTAAATGTCACAAATCTCCAGCCTTCCTAAGGTTAGACATGTGGCCAAAGGCTTTCCCACATTTGCTACACTCAGGGCCTTCCACCAGCTTGAACCTTCTGCTGCTGATTTAGAGTATAACTTTGGCAGAAAGCTTTTCTGCACTCCATGCACTTGTAAGGCCTTTTCCCAGAGTGAATTTTCTGATGCTTTTTCAGTTTACAGGTGTGGCTAAAGGTCTTCCTACTCTCCTGACTTACATAGGATATTTCTCTAGTGTGAATTTTTTGGTGACTAACAAGCACTGATTTCTCCTTGCAGACATCTCTATTTGGTGGACATCTACATAGCCTCTCTTCAGGGTGAGTCAGGTGGCTAAGGAGGGTGGAGCTCTTCAGGAAGTCTGTCCCCCAGTTGCTGCACTTGAAGGGCTTCTCTGCAGTGTGGACTTTGGGAACTGCCCAATATTGGGCTGGGTGGGAAGGCCTTCCTGAGCTTGGTGCTCCTTAACGGCTTCCTATTACTGCGGGTGGGTGGGTGTTAGGTCATGGCTGTCTAGGACATCCTTACATGTGCACAGCTTTTCTGTAGTATGCGCTCATCACAGGTGGGAGGTTTCTCTCCATACTGAAGTCAACTGGGGGGTATAGCTCAGGGGTAGAGCATTTGACTGCATACTGAAGTCAACTGTTTCAGTTGAAGGTTTAAGTGGAACCAGAATTCTCTCCTGCATGCCCCACACGTGTGCAGTTTCTGCCCAGGTCTGTTTCCATGCTTCTCCAGGGACAAAGTCTCTGAACACTTAACCACCTGGGTTATAGGGGTGGTGGACCTTCTGGCTAGAAGGACCAGCACTGGGAGTCCAGACCTGTGATACGATTTTTCTAGAAATATCTTATTCCAACAGTGCCTCCTTATCTTCCCTTCCACATGAATTACCTGAAAATAGGGAAATGCCCTTTCTGTAGGTCATGGTACGTGGGTGAGGATGGATCCATCATTAAGTGGGGGCCAGGATCAGGGGGAAAAGAGCAAGTCCTGTTGGTACAGGCTCTGGCCAGACCAGTGCAAAATATCTCAACAGGGTCAAAGATTCAATGCGGCTGGCAGGATCTGCTGCTCACCCTCTGCAAACACAATGCAGCAGGGATGCTGGGACAGGCAAATGCTGCACAGAAAGAGCCCAGACACGGATGTAACATCCAGTCACTTCTTAGGATTAGGCTTCCAAGGATTATTTACCAATACATGAACATATCCTAACAGCTAAATAGAAGCTAACACTGGAGGACCCAGCATAGGGACAGTAGTTACAAAATGAAACTTGAGGAAGGAGAGGTAGGAACTAGACATCAGGAAGAGAAGGCAAGAGGACGGAATGTTCCAAAAGGTGTAAGAAGTTGGACTGAGGTTGGGACAATGACTTTGGCAACAGGACAGTGATGTGGTACAGGACCACGGCCAGCCACAATTCAACCTAGACCAGGCCTCAGCCCATACCTGAATTTCACTCAGCAAGGCCCACCTGTTCTGGGACTCTGTTGTAATGGCTAGAATTGCATCTTCCCAGCTAGATATCCAGGACTCCATGTCATGCTCTGGCAAAATGACGTTGTGGGATGGAGTGGCCACGAGTCCTGTGGAGGACAGGGCAGGTAAAGGGGCCTGCCCTGACTGTTGACCTTTCTGCGGAAGTCAAGAAGCTGGCTTCATCTTTATCATTAGTGAGGAGGAAGCAGGAAGGATGTCACAAAATGAAACTTTGAGAGGGGTTTTTCAGGAATAGCCAGGGGCTGCCCCTGGCCCTTTGTTCGATCTATCCCTTGCAAGCAATGACAACAGGACCCCCAGAGACTGGCAGTGGCAATTCTAAGGAAGTATCTGCTGGAGAAAGAAAGCAGAATCCATGGCACAGAGAGACTCTGTTATGGAGCCAAACCCAATGGCTTGTTGGAAAGATGGAGAGAACCTTGACCTTTCTTTCCAAGCCATCACAAACCTGGGGCAGCAAAGGTGCAGTGGCTCAGGGAGAGCACAAGTGAGTGCCCACAACTCTGAAAAAGAACACGTAAAGAGAGGCAGGAGATTCACTCAGTAAGGCTGTGAACGTGAAGTCATCCAACATCACATCCTGGTACAGGATCCTCTGGGCCAGTGAAGAGTCTCCACTCCTCCTGAGAGGTACATGGCCACATCCTTGGGTCACCAGGCCTTGCAGTGAGGGAGACAGCTGATCCTGCAGGGCACATGAGTGGATATCTTCGAGCCCCAGGCTCCTTGCTCTCTCCCCTGGCAACCCTCTCCCCTATAACACCTCTCAGACATAACTCCTAACTCCTCAGAAGGAACGCTAGTCTACCAACATCAGGGCCTTCTCCTTCTCCCAAGACCCACTGGCCACTGCATTGCAGCTGCTGCATCATAAAGTAGGAGGGGAACCTCCAATGGCACTCGGGGCTAGGGGCTGCCCCTGGCCCTTTGTTCAAGGCCTTCCCCACCTGTCACTGTCCTCTGCTCTACCTCTCAGCTACAAACACCTGGATTCCCAAATACCCGTGGCTCTCTTACAGCTCTGCCTTTGCTTGTCTTAACCCCTTACGAGGTGTGTCCTACCTGTTCCACCACAGGATGTTCCTTCAGGCCCCACTAGCTCCACTATCACTGTGGATAACGCATCCTAACCCCTGCACTTGCAGTAGATTGAACCATCATTCTATAGCAGCATGCCTACAAGGCCTGCAGTCCCACTGTGGAGCCTCAGGAGTGTGCAGAACCTCCCTGGACCCTTCCCTGTCACATGCTCTCACAATCTGTCCTCCCTGGGTCCACCATCTTCCAAGTCTGACCCAGAGCTACCTCCCTGGTCTAGGGCTCATTACATGCCTGGACTATTGCTGAAGCCTCCTCTCTGGCCGCCCTGCTTTCGCCCTGGCCCCTCAGTCTGTTCACACACCAGCCAAAGAAACCAGTTAACAGCAGAGTAAGAATAAAGGGCCAGCGTTTAGTCTCCTTAAAGGAAGCCTAAGCTGCAGCCTGAATTCTCCTATCAGGTTCTCTTTCCTCACAAGATGTAAGAAGGATTGGGGGTCCCTGATGGCTCCCAGTTCAAGCTCACAAACAAGCCTCTGCAAGTCTCGGTCTCCAAGCATGAAAAACCCTTTCAAGCCCCTCCCCCTTTTTTTGGCAGCACACTGACCAGTAATGTGGGACACAAAGGCACAAAATGAGAGTGACTCCCATCATCCCAGACAAAGAAATGGAAACGGCAGGAATCCCACGGCACACTCACTCATTCACTAACGTCGGGGCTCCAGGAGCTTGGGGTTAGGGGTACTGCCCGGCTTCTGTAAGCAGGACCCTTCACTCTCCAAAGACTTCCGGTAGCGCCGCTGTTCCCATGGTAACCCGCTAGGGTCCGAGGAGAAGCCGCGGCGCGCCCGTTAGGAATGGACCGCTGCGGGCAGCCAGCCAGCCCTCCGAGCCTCGGTCTCCCGCTCAGTATGGTGGAAGCACGCCCAAGGCGCCTCTCCTGGTCAGGTCACCGGCTTGGACAGGCTCTAGCGGAAGTCCCGGCGGACATCCCCGACGGCGGTCCGTTCTATTTCCGAGAAAACGAGGCTCGAGGAGTTGGGGATGGTAGCTCGTAGGCCCCGCCCGCAGGCGCAGAGGCCCAGAAAAGAGCCGTCCCCACCTTCCACACTTCGAGCACCTCGAGCCCTGGAGGCTGACGCCCTGTAGTTTCCAGAACGCATCCCCAACCCAGGTTTCAGGGCCTTCGAACCGGCGCACAGCAAGTCAAGAGAAAAACCTCAGGGCGACGCCGGAAGTTCCGCCCTTGCCCGGCGCGGTGCGAACGGATATGCCCCGCGCAGCGCAGCGTCTTCTGGGTAGTGTGGTTCACACCGTAAATCCTATTTCCGCGGGGACCGAGGTTCCGTGTCACCATGACAAAGACCAAGCGGCACCGCGAGGGATGTCGGGAATTGAGGTCCGGCGGGTAGGTTGACCTAAGGCACGTCTGAGGCTCGCCAGCGGCATTGTCAGAAAGGACCAGGCCCTAGGCCAGACTGGGCCCACTGCGCCGGGTCCCCGTCCGAGACAGAGCTGGTGGACTTGGCATGGGTAAGGGAAGGTCTCCCAAGCTCCGCCTAACGGGATTCCAAGCTCCAGTGTCCTAAAAGCGAAACTGAGGGCGTCCTGCCTGGGGTCATCTTTTTCCCTCCAGGCTGGGACAGTGGGTGTGCGCACCCCATTTTTAGCGGTCTTGGAATGAAGCATGGAAGTTGTTCCAGGCAGAGGGACCTGCATGTGCAAAGCCTTGGAGGCCATCCAGACAGGAAGGCATTAGGGAAACTTGAAGTCCATTACTTCTGGTGGGACCAGAAAGCTCCAGGGGAGGTTTCATGCTAGGCCTTTATTCTGAGGGCCCCAGAAGCTGAGAAGATCTGTGAACAGAGGAGGGACCTGATCTAATTTGAGCAGTATACCTTTAGTTTCCATGTGCAGAAGTGATGGGGGACCAGATGAAGGTGGAGGTGGGTGAGGACAGAGGAAGGAGGCACTTGCAATTATGGAGGCAAGCGATGGTGGCAGCATGGACTAGGGTGGTGGTGGCAAAAGATGTAGGAGAAGTAGTCAGATTCTGGATCTCTTCTGCAGGCAGAGCCATCAGGATTTGCTGATGGATCAAAGAGGGGTGAGAAAGAGATGAGAGGTCCAGAAGGACTCCAGGTTTTTAGCCTGAGCAGTTGAAAGAATGGAACTGCCTTCCAGAGAAATGGGAAAGGGGAAAGAGGAGCAGGTCCCAAAGGAAAAGCAGGAGTTGGGATTGTGTCTGAGTTGCCTGGAGACATCTGAGTGGAAAGGTGATGTGGGCAAGACTCAGAGATCTGGCGTTCTTTTTTTTTTTTTTTAAGATTTCATTCATTTATTTGACAGAGAGAGACACAGCGAGAGCAGGAACACAAGCGGGGGAGTGGGAGAGGGAGAAGCAGGCTTCCCGCGGAGCAGGGACCTTGACGCGGGGCTCGATCCCAGGACCCTGGGATCATGACCTGAGCCAAAGGCAGACGCTTAACAACTGAGCCACCCAGGTGCCCCGGATCTGGTGTTCTTGAGAAAGGTCTGGCTGGAAGTGTCCAAGGAGTGATGGGCTGAGGGCTTGGGCCAGGGTAAGGCCTGGGGACCAGATTTAGGAAGTAGGATCTAAGGGCCTTGGTTACAGATGACCACTGGATGGAGGGAAGGGACAGTGAGGTTAGGACTGGAAAGCTAAGTGAAGTTGGGCCCAGAATGGAGATTAAGGGTAATGATCACAGATGCAGTTGGAAGGAGGCTTGGCTTCACATAGATTTGCGGATACCAATTGCCTTTTGCCTACAATCCCTGTGGCTGCTATGTGCAGAGGGATCTCTAAGAAGCCTGGGGAAAAAAAAAAAAAACATTGGAACAGATGAGGCAGGGCCCCAGGATTTGATAGAAAGACTGTCCAAAACCTATTAGGGCCAGCATAGGAGGCCCAGCATGGAATCAAGCCCTAGTGTGTCTCAGATGTGGAGTCCTGGGGGAAATCATTGAGTGTACTGGGGAGAGATTCCAGGGGGAGTATCAGGGAGGTGGCTGTTAAGACAAGAACTAGAGGCCTGGATCACACACCCAGAACTTACACCATAGTCAACTGCCCACATGCCGTTGTTGCAGGGTTTGGTGACCTTTGATGACATTGCTGTGGCTTCTCTCAGGAGGAGTAGGGGCCCTTGAGGGGCCAGAGGGGCCTGGTCCATGATGTGACTCTAAGGACATTCTTGGGTTCCCTGTGGGGGTGTTTTTGGACTTGGGGCTGGGCACCAGGCTTCGCTTGCTGACCATGATCTTGTTGGTAAATGTCTTTCCAACTCTGTCCAGTGGGTCTGCCTCTTGAGCCCATTGGGACCAAGGCCCTTCTGCATCTGGGTTTTACTCCCCTGACTCCAGTAGGAGGTTCCAGAGACTGTTCCTTGCCAAGCACTCCACACTTTATGGTCATTGTTTAATGTATAATGTTATTTTTGCAAAACTTTTCTTGGATGTTTTATCTTGTGAGGTTCCATTTTATTTCCAGTCACATCTGTCATGCTTGCCCTGTGACCTGTTGTGGAACTCCAGTAGGGGTACTGGACTCCTGTGTGGTCATCCAGCTGGAACATTGCAAGGAGCCCTAGCTGCTCACCTGGGTTGATATGACTCCACCATGGCAGGTTCCTGCAGGCATACAGAGTGTGAGCTAGGTATGGGAATGACTTCGGGGCTGGGTTAGGCTGGTGCTTGACCAGTGCCTCTAAGGCCAAAGCTGTGTCTCATTCCTACCATCTTCTAGACCCAAACTGCCTCTCATTTGACTCCTGAGCATTAGCTGTCTCCCACCCTCCTCGAGCCGAGCCTCCACATCTGACCCATTCTACTTTCCCACTGTTGCTTTCAGGTCCTTCAATTCAGCTTCTCCTTCCTGGTCAGCATAATCAAGCCTTCCCCCCACCCCCTCCCGCCTTTTCAAGATGCTCACAACTGAATCCCTGAATCTGTGAGTATGTTACTTTATTTGGCAAGAGAGATGTCACACACACAAAAGAAGATGTTACAGATGTGATTAGATTAAGGATCTGAGAATGGGGATATTATTGTGGACTATTCAGGTGGGCCCTAAATGGAATCACAAGCATTCTTATAAGAGAGAAGCAAGAAGGTCAAAGGAAATCCAACACCTTTTCATGACAAAAACTCTCAGAGAACTAGCAATATAAGGAAATTTCTTCAACATGATAAAGGGCATCTGTGAAAAATCTGTAGCTAACATTATACTTAATTGTGAAAGACAGAAAGCTTACCCACTAAGATAAGGAATGAGGCAAGGATGCTCACTTTCATCACTGCTATTTGATGTTGTACTGGAAGTTCTTGCCAGAGAAATCAGGTAAGAAACAGAAATAAACGGCATCCTGATTGGAAAGGAGGAAGTAAAACTATCTCTATACACAAATGATGTGAAAATCCCAAAGAATCCATAAGAAAGCTACTGGAGCTAATAAACAAATTTAGCAAAGTTGTAGGGTACAGGATCAACACATAAAAATCTGTGTGTTCTCCTATATACCAGCAATGTACAATCTGAAAAGGAAATTAAGAAAGCTATATTTACAATAACATCTAAAAGAATAAAATAGCTATAAGAATACATTGAAGCGGGCGCCTGGGTGGCTCAGTTGGTTAAGCGACTGCCTTCGGCTCAGGTCATGATCCCGGAGTCCTGGGATTGAGTCCCGCATCGGGCTCCCTGCTCAGCGGGGAGTCTGCTTCTCCCTCTGCCCCTCCCCCCTCTCATGCTCCCTCTATCTCATTCTCTCTCTCAAATAAATAAATAAAATCTTTAAAAAAAAAAAAATACATTGAAGCAAAGAGATGAAATACGTGTACACTGAAAACTAGAAAACATTACTGAGAGAAACTAAAAATAAAATAAAATAAATAAATAAAATTAAAAAAAAATAAATAAGTGGAAAGTCATCCCATGTTAATGGATAGGTAGACTTAATGTTGTTAAAATGTCAACGCTAGGGCGCCTGGGTGGCTCAGTTGGTTAAGCGACTGCCTTCGGCTCAGGTCATGATCCTGGAGTCCCTGGATCGAGTCCCGCATCAGGCTCCCTGCTCGGCGGGGAGTCTGCTTCTCCCTCTGACCCTCCCCCCTCTCATGTGCTTGCTCTCTCTCATTCTCTCTCTCTCAAATAAATAAATAAAATCTTTAAAAAAAAAAAATGTCAATGCTACCCAAAACTACAGATTCAATGCAATCCTCATCAAAATTCCAACAGCCTTCTTTTGCAGAAATGAAAAAAGCTGATCCTCAAATTCATATGAAACTGCAAAGGGACCCAAACAGCCAAAACAAACCTGAAAAAGAACAAAGTTGGAGCGGGGCACCTGGGTGGCTCAGTCGCTGGGCGTCTGCCTTCGGCTCGGGTCATGATCCCAGGGTCCTGGGGGATGGAGCCCCACGTCGGGCTCCCTGCTCCGCGGGAAGCCTGCTTCTCCCTCTCCCCCTGCTTGTGTTCTGTCTCTCGCTGTGTCTCTCTCTGTCAAATAAATAAAATCTTAAAAAAAAAAAAAAGAAAAAGAAAGTTGGAGCACTCACACTTTCTGATTTCAAAACTTACCACAAAGCTGTAGTAATCAAAACAGTGTGATAGTGGCATACAGATAGACATATACACCAATGGAATAGACTTGAAAATCCAGAAATAAACCTATACAAAACCTATACAACTATAGCTAATTGATTTTTTACAAGGGTGTCAATGCCATCCAATTGGTATTGAATCTTCAAAAGATGGTGCTGAGACAACTGGATATCCTCATGCAAAATAATGAAGTTGTACCCCTAACTCACACCATATACAAAAAATTAACTAGGGGCGCCTGGGTGGCTCAGTCAGTTAAGCATCTGCCTTTGGCTCGGGTCATGATCCTGGGGTCCTGGGATTGAGCCCCGCGTTGGGCTCCCTGCTTAGCAGGGAGCCTGCTTCTTCCTCTCCCCCCTGCTCATGCTCTCTCTCACACTCCCTCTCCAATAAATAAAATCATTAAAAAAAGTTTTAAAAACAAAAAATTAACTCAAAATGAATCAACAACATAAATATAAGAGCTAAAACCATAAAATTCTTAGAAGAAAACATAAGGATAAATCTCAGTGACCTTTGATACGACCTTGGATTTGTGACACCAAAAGGTAAGTAACAAAATTTTAAAGAATAGATACACTGGGGGCACCTGGGTGGCTTAGTTGGTTAAGTGTCTGACTCTTGATTTTGGAGTAGGTCATGATCTCAGAGTTGTGAGATCGAGCCCCGTGTCAGGCTCTACACTGGGCGGAGAGACTGCTTAAGATTCTCTCTCTCCCTCTCCCTCTGTCCCTCCCCCTCCCTCTCTAAAATAAATTTTAAAAAAGATAAATTGGACTTCATCAAAATTTAAAATGTTTGTACATCAAAGGGTATTCATTACAAACACACTGAAAAACCAACCAATAGAATAGGAGAATATACTGGCAAATCATATATCTGATAAGGCTTACTATCCAGAATACATAAAGAACTTAATAACAAAAAGATAAACAACCCAATTAAAAAATGGACAAAGAACTTGAACAGACATTTCTCTAAACAAGATACTCATATGGCCAATAAGCACATGAAAAGATGCTCGACTCATTAGTCATTAGAGGAATGCAAATCAAAACATGAGATACCATTTCAAACCTACTAGGATTGCTATCATGAAAAAAGAAAAAGAAAAAGAATGGTTAGAATGTGGAAAAATGGGAACCTCATATGCTGCTGGATGGAATGTAAAATGGTGCAGCCATTATGGAAAATAGTTTGGCAGCTTCTCAAAAAGTTAAAGATAGAATTACCATATCACCCAGCAGTTTCACTCCTAGATACATACCCAAAGATTTGAAAACAGGGACTCAAAACAGATATTTGTATGCCAGTGTTCATTGCTCATTACTAAAAAGGTAGAAGCAACCCAAGAGTCCATGAGCAGATGAATGGACAAAATGTATCATGTGCATACAATGGGATACTGTTCACCTGTTAAAAGAATGAAGTACTGATAAGTGTTACAACATGGATGAACCTTGAAAACATAATGCTAAGTGAAATAATCCAGACACAAAAGGACAAGAGTAGTTAAATCAAATCACTAGAATAGGCAAATTCATAGGGGTAGATAGTAGATTAGAAATTACCAGGGGCCAGGGCAGGGGGGGATGGGGAGTTATTGTTTAATGGGTACAGAGTTGCTCTTTGGGTGATGGAAAACTTTTGGAAATAGGTAGTGGTGATGGTTTTAGAACATTATGAATGTAATTAACGTCATGGGATTGTACAATTAAAAATGGTTAAAATGACAAATATTGTGTTATATATATTTAACCACAATTTAAAAAAATAGTAGTAATTATAATTTGAAATTACTTCCCCCTAAAAAAAAAAAAAAGTTTTAGGTTCCTCTGCTATCTGAAAATTAAATGTCAGTGAAAAACCACATTTTTGTGGAACAAGAAAGTCAAAAGAGGAAGTAGGAGATGCAGCAACAGAAGCAAGAGGTTGTAGTGATTTTTTTTTTAATATTTTATTTATTTATTCGACAGAGAGAGAGAGCAAGAGAGGGGACACAAGCAGGGGGAGTGGGAGAGGGAGAAGCAGGCTTCCTGCTGAGCAGGGAGCCCGATTCTGGGCTTGATCCCAGGACCCTGGGACCATGACCTGAGCCAAAGGCAGACGCTTAACGACTGAGCCACCCAGGCGCCACCCCCCCTTTTTAAAAAAATATTTTATTTATTTATTTGACAGAGAGAGAGAGCAAGAGAGGGGACACAAGGAGGGGGAGTGGGAGAGGGAGAAGAGGTTGGAGTGATTGTGAGGAAGGAAGTCAAGAGCCAAGGAATGCATTCTTCCTCAAAGAGCTGGAAAAGGTAATGAACAGATTCTCTCCTAATAGCCTCAGAAGAAAACAGTATGGTAACACCTTGATTTTAGCCCAGCTAAGTTACTTTCACACTTCTGGCCTCTAGAACTGGAAGAGTAAATTTCTGTTGTTTTAAGCCACTCGGTTGGTTTATGGTAATTTGTTATGGCAGCAATAGGAAACTAGCACATTCCCTGCGTAGCTCACGTATCCTGAAATGTAGGATTTTAGAGGTGGGTGGGCATTTGTCCCCTCTGGGGATTTGGAGCCCTGGTATTACCAGCTTTCCACCCAGTTTGGCACTCCTGTCACTAGCACTGAGGCCTGAGAGAATCCCATTTGCAGACAGGCTAGTGGGAGAAGCTGCCTCTCCTTTGCATGCACCTATCCTGTGGATTTGTCCATGGGCAGGCACCCCTGTGCTGTGGCCTGGCTGGGCTCCCTTCTCACCCAAATATCAGTTTCTTTGCCCTGCCCTGGAGCCCATGGAATCATTCCTGAGTGTGCCAGACACACACTTGTGAAGAAGTACCCAACCCATGCCAAGGTCATCATGAAGCATGGAGTGGAGGAGGGGGTGCTATCTGAGCGGAGTTTATCTGTACCACTGGGGTCACAGGCTAGGACCACCAGGCAGCCCTGAAAGCTGGAAAGCCTACCTCAGTGACACGCATGCACATGTCTTCAAAGACACCTGGCTACACACCAGGGAAGCACCCTGGATGGAAGCCATGACATGGGTGACATGGGGAGAGGCTCCTAGTTCAGCTTGAGCCTCCACCAGTACTGGAAGCATCACAGTGGAAAGAAATGCTGCAGAAGGGGCGTGGGTGGGCCTCTTCTGATCCCAGCTTGCAGTGCCCACTCATGGAGCTGCCCTTTCCCTGCAGAGCATGGAGGTAAGTCCTCCTGACAGATACGACCTTTCAGCAGGACCCCTCCTCTGACAGGGAGAAGCCATGGGGCCCTAAGTGTATAATGACCAGGAACTGACTTGCTCTGGCCAAGGAGACCTGCAGTGTGTCTATTGGCAGCTCAGGGAAAGCTGCCCAGCTTCATGGATGTGGCTAGGTCTGCACATGGCACCTGTAATGTTCTAAGGACCACTCCCTTTCTTACCTCAGACTGCTCTGGACTGTGTGAGAATAAAGACCAGGTTAATTATATCACCTTAAAGCTAGGGGTATGGCTGGGGAGGCAGGGAATAGAAATGAGTCACTGCCAGCATGCAGTGGTTCTCAGTGATGATAGCAACATCTGCTTCTGAGGACACAGTGGGAGGGCAGGGGGTGACACTCTGTGGCAGTGACCTTGCCTGCTGGGTTCTGGTCTCTCCATTCCCTATGATCTATACCCTGTCATTCTCACTGTAGGTCTTATGGTGGTGAGCCTGCCTACAGGGATCTGTTTTTTTCTGGACAGGCATAGAAAGATGGCTTCATCTTAATTCTCTCAATCTCTACTGCCTCCCTGTTCCACTGTTTATAAAATATTTTATTTAGTTATGAGAGAGAGTGCGCTCGTGCAAGCAGGGAGAAGGGTGGAAGGACACAGGGGGAGGGAGTGGGAAAGGGAGAGAGAATCTTGAGCAGACTCCACGCTGAGCACGGAGCTCGATGTGGGGCTCGATCGCATGACCCCAAGATCATGACCTGAGCTGAAACCAAGAGGCAGATGCTTAACTCGCTGAATCACCCAGGTGCCCCCTCCCTGTTCCACTTTTAAGGACCTTTGTTATTACACTGTCCACCCACCCGCCACCTCAGATAATCCAGAATAATCTCCACATCTCAAGGTCAGCTGATTATCAACTTAATTCTATCTACCATTTAAGTTCCACCTTGCCATGTAATATAACTTATTTACATGTTCTGGAGATAAAGACCTGGACATCTTTAGGGTCATTATATTCTGCCTACCACAGTATAAGAATACACTTTTTAAAAAGTTTGAACATTACCTATATGGCTACTTGCTAGGTCAAGGATGAGTGCATTTTATTTTTTATTTTTATTTATTTATTTCTTTAAAGATTTTATTTATTTATTTGACAGAGAGAGAGATAGCGACAGCAGGAACACAAGCAGGGGGAGTGGGAGAGGGAGAAGCAGGCTTCCCGCAGAGC